AGAAAAATGATAATACAAAATTTAAAAACCCAGCATAATAACTATTCACATAGCATTTACATTATATTAGGTTTTATAAATAATCTAGAGGTGATTTAAAGTATTCAGAAGAAGCCGGGCACAGTGGCTCACGCCTGTAATCCCAGCACTGTGGGAGGCTGAGGTGGGTGGATCACCCGAGTTCAGGAGTTCCAGACCAGCCTGGTCAACATAGTGAAACCCTGTCTCTATTAAAAATACAAAAATTAGCTGGGCATAGTGGTGGGCACCTGTATTCCCAGCTACTCAGGAGGCTGAAGCAGGAGAATTGCTTGAACCTGGGAGGTGGAAGCTGCAGTGAGCCAAGGTTCTGCCACTGCACTCTAGCCTGGGTGACAGGGTGAGACTTCATCTCAAAAAACAAACAAAACAAAAAAAGCATATGGGAGGATGTGGACAGGTTATATGCAAATACTATGCGACTATATAAGTGACTTGAACATTCTCTAATTTTGGTATGGGGGAAGTTCCTGGAACTAGTCTCCCATGAATAATGCGGGATAACTGTACTTACAGAATAATAAATGAAATAGATTTTTTTTTTCTGCTCTACTTTGAAAAACAATTCACAAATAGTAATAAAAGTATTTCTACAAAGGATGAAAAACAAAACATCCGAACAGTGTAGAATCCGGAATATGTCTCAGCATCTGTGTACTTTATTTTTATATACATACAGGGTCTTACTCTAAAGTCCAAAGTTCAGGCTGGAGTGCAGGGGCACAGTCATGGCTCACAGTAGCCTCAAAGACCTGGGCTCAAGAGATCCTCTTGCCTCAGCCTCCCAAGTAGCTGTGACTATAGGCATATGCCATCGTCTCCAGAAAATTGACTTTACTTTTTTGTAATGATGAGGTGTGGCTTTATTGAACATTCTGGTTTCTAGATCCTGGTTTCAAGCAATCCTCCCTGCCTCGGCCTCCCAAAGTGCTGAGATTACAGGTGTGAGATGCTATGTCCAGCCCAGTGTAACTTTTGATCCAGTGAAGTTGACTGCTTCATCTTAATGCATTATTGACATTAAGAAATGATGTCCTGAGAAGATGTGATTTAAAGATTCAATTTGATTTACTATATTGCATTTAAGTTATTTAAAAATTTCAAATATATTCTGAATGGTTTTTATAAAAAGATAGTGTTAGAACACATTTAGCCAAAACACTATTATATCCAAGTGAAGTTTACTAATATATTAAGTACACTTAAGTATATGTATTAAGTATACTTAGTAAATATATATGTATACTTATTTTAGTTATAACATATCACTTACATAACTTATATCACTTATAAGGCTTATTAAGTTAGACATCTAAGCTTTTTTCTTTTAAAATTATAGTATGTTAATATATATAGGCACCTCTTTTTATTGTACTTCACTTTATTGTGCTTTTTATAAATTGAAGGTTTATGGCAATCCTGCAACTAGCAAGTCTATCAGTGCCATTTTTCCAACAGCCTGTGCTCATTTCCCTGTTTGTCGCATTTCAGTAATTCTCACAATATCTCACACATTTTCCTTATTATTGTACTTGTTATGTTGATCTGTGATCAGTGATATTTGATGTTATTACTGTAAATGTTTTGGGGTGACATGAAACACACCCACATAGACAACGAATTTAATAAATATTGTGTGTGTTCTGACTTCTCCACTGACTGGCCATTCCTGTCTCTTCTCCTCTCCTCAGGCCTCCCTATTCCCTGAGATGCAGCAATATTTAAATTATGCCAATTAACAACCCAACAATGGCATCTAAGGGTCTAAGTAAAAGGAAGAGTCTCACATCTTATTCAAAATCAAAAGCTAGAAATGACTAAGTTAAAAGGCATGTCGAAAGCTGAGACAGACATAAATCTATGCCTCTTGCACCAAACAGCCAAGTTGTTGATGCAAAGGAAAAGTTTCTGAAGGAAATTAAAAGTGCTGCTAAACACACTTTTTTTTGCCAGTGAACTCACAAATGGTAAGAAAGTGAAACAACAGCCTTATTGCTGATAAGCAGAAAGTCTGAGTGATCTGGATAGAAGATCAAAAACCAGATAGAACATTCCCTTAAGCCAAAGCCTAATCTGGAGAAAGGCCCTAACTCTTTTCAATTCCATGAAAGCTGAAAGAGGTGAGAAGATGCAGAAGTATGAAACCAGCAGAGTTAGCCCACAATGTTTAAGAAGCTGCTTCTATAACATAAAAGTGCAAGGTGAAGCAGCAAGTGCTGATACAGAAGATGTAGCAAGCTATTCAGAAGATCTAGCTAAGGTCCTTGATGAAGGTGGTTACAGATTTTGAATACAAAAGATTTTCAATAAAGAAAACGGTTTTCTATTGGAAGAAGATGCCATCTAGGACTTTTGTAGGTAGGCAAGTAGCATATGCCTGGCTTCAAAGCTTCAAGAACAAGCTGACGCCAATGATCATTTACCATTCCCCAAATCCTAGGTCCCTTTAGAGTTATGCTAAATCTCCTGCCTGTGCTCCAGAATGGAACAACAAAGCCTGGATGACAGCATATCTCTTTATAGCATGGTTTACTGAATATTTAAGGCCTACTACTCAGGAGAAAATAAAAAAAGATTCCTTTAAAAATATTGCTGCTCATGACAATGCATGTGGTCATTTAAGAGCTGTAATGAAGATATACAAGGAGAAACATCCACTCTGGAGCCCATGGATCAAGGAGTCATTTTGACTTTCAAGTCTTATTATTTAAGAAACACATTTCTTTTTTGTTTTTTGAGACACAGTTTCGCTGTTGTTGCCCAGACTGAAGTGCAATGGCGCGATCTCGGTTCACCGCAACCTCCGCCTCCTGGGTTCAAGCAATTTTCCTGCCTCAGCCTCTGCCTCAGCTGGACTACAGGCATGCACCATCATACCCAGCTAATTTTTGTATTTTTAGTAGGGACGAGGTTTCACCTTGTTGACCAGGATGGTCTCGATCTCTTGACCTCGTGATCCGCCCGCCTCGGCCTCCCAAAGTGCTGGGATTATAGGCATGAGCCACCGTGCCCGGCCTTAAGAAACACATTT